AAGTACTGTGCTCTTCGTCCTCCTAATCTGAAGACAGGCAGGTTTTTTTTAAACTATCAAAACGGAAAATGTTCAAGCCAAAACGTTGGCATCAACAAAATTGGAAACATGGCTAGGGAAATCGCCAAGTTTTTGATGCTAGAGAATCCAGAAAGTTACACGGGACATTGTTTTCGGCGTTCATCGGCCACAATTTTAGTCAATTCTGGCTCAAATCTGCTTGCCCTCAAACGCCATGGAGGGTGGAAATCCAGTACAGTTGCCGAAGGCTACGTTGATGACTGTTTGAGAAATAAAATGGAAGTTTCGAAAAAGATAGAGTCTTCAGTGTCTTCTGCTGCCACAGAACCAGAACAACGATCTTCCACTGGAATACAACAAGAAAACAACGACCGCACGCTGAAAAACTGCACTAAAAACACGACACCAAAAATATTCTCTATTACCGAAAACAAGGTGCACAATAATACTGCTTTTCCCAGCGTAACCTTGAAGGAATGTTCAAATGTTACCATAAATATTAAATATTAGTTTCTTTTGTTAATGCGTTAGCAATTTTCTTAATAAAAACGAGTTAAATTAAAAGTTGTATTTAATTTATTTTGTTAATGCGTTGGCAATTTTAGTAATAAAAACGATTTAAATTAAAATTTTATTTTTGTGGTCTCTGTTTGCAGTCGTATAAAAAGTATCGTAAAAAACTCGTTTGAAAACCTCTTTGAACACTCGCTCGACTTGTGGACCTCGCCTTCGGCTGGGTCCAGCAATATGTCTCGCTCGTGTGCAAAGAGTCGTTTTCAAACCTTGTTGTTTAATATACTATTATGGAAGGAGGTGCTGGTAATAATGCCAAGATTGTTGATCTTTTTTTTAGTTTCTATTTAATATGGCTGTTGATATATTGTATTTTATTTAAAATAAAATTGTAAAAATATCTAGAAAATTGACACACAAAGAACTGGAAGAAATTTTAGCGAGGAGCGGTAGTGGCGACGGGTTTGAGATTGAGGAGCGTGGTGATGAATGCTTTAAATAAAATATTAATAATTAAACTATTACAATTATTTTGAAACCTTTAAACATATTTTAATTTAATTTAACACAAACAACATAATGTAAAAATATAAGTAGTCTAACTGCTCCAGACGAGTATACTCGCACACGGTAAGCTTTCCTGCACGGCGAGGTAGCTACGTTCAGACGTAGTGCACAGCGAAAAGGTTAATCCGAACTCGCCTTAAACCGAATATCCACTAATACGGCCCGACGAATGCCCGTTTCGATGGTCCGAACAAAACTCTTTAATTCAAATAAAATTGGGTTTAACGTATATAGTTCAGATTTTAGAGTCAGACTACATAATAAAAAGTAACCGGTAAAAACGTAATTCCCTGGCAGTCTCGGGGAAACCCTTTTATGCGCTTAGAACCTTTCTCGATTAGATCTTTTTAGTTGAAATATTGCCGTGCAAACATGTCCCAAAAAAGAAAGCATCACTCGTTAACCCTTTTGCAAAAAGTGGATATTCTAAATAAATTGGTTTTTTCAGTCTTTTTTATTTTTAATAAATGCATATCTATATTTTACGAGAATGTTTGGTTTTATTGTTATTTTTTGCCTTCTCAGTAACACATAAAATCTAATTCATATTATATGTATGTACATAAACATATTTACATATGTACATACAGGGTGATTCAGAACTTATCCAAAAAAAAATTCTGGATGTACAGGGGACCCTTACAAATACAATTTTGTAAAGAAAAAATCAAAAAGGGCAGTTCGAAAATGATTTAAAAATACACTTCTGCACGGCACTGGAAACTGGTCCACTGTAAAACCTGACCTCGCACAATGCGACCGGCATGGCGGTGTGATAAAAACGGACAAAAACTTTCGCAAGGAAAGAAATATGTAAATAGAATTTTATCGCACCTATTTTATATCGGCAAATTCAACTGCTTTTGCCTTTATTAATTAATAAAATTAATTTGTGTTTTTAAATAATAAAATCATTTGACATACCCGATGTTACAACAATTGTTCAAAATTTTATCCACCAACGTGTAAACACATTTGGGTCCGTCTTACTCATTTTCTACGAACTAACACAAATGTTGTCTTGCTTCACCATATCACAAATGCTTCACCATAAATTAAAACGATATCCATGAACTCCGAGTTGCTATACACGCAAACCATTTTTGACACTAACTACCGATTTTTGACACTAACTACCGATTTTTGACACTAACTACTAAAAAAACTATTGAACAAATAACAGGTAAATACTATTGCAACGACGATTACAAAATCTGATTTCAGTATTCGGAGTCGCTGAGGCCACGTGGCTCTCCACGCACATTGCGAATGACGCTAGAGATTACAGCTGTCCAGCTATGTAGTCGTTGAATGTACTATAACTTCAATAATAAAAATTTTGTTTACGATATTGACTCCATTTCTCATGCCGCATCTATTCCCAAATTTTTTTGGAAGTTCTGAATCACCCTGTTATTACTATCCAATCCAGTAATCCGAAAATATCGGTAATTCAAACTTATCTCTTTAAGCCCGTGTCTTAATTAGTTCGGATTAAAGAGTGTACTGTATTGTCAGACACCTAAAATATGAGTTGGGTTAGGTTTTTATTTTAAAATATATTAACAAAATTTTAGAAAAATACTTGAGAAAAGTAAATAAATAGCTTTGAAAATTTAAAATAAAAGGTAGCCTTATTTTCTGACTTATTTAGATAAGCTATCAAAAGTAGAGGGTTCCTTTTAAATGGTGCTAGTAATAATTATAAACCTAAATCATTTTATAGTAAATTGTCCTAATTAAAGACTTCAAACAGATATAGTTAGATATAGTATATTACGAGGTCCACAATCATATTTTCTCAATTATTTTTTGATGTAGAAAAGAATGGTAAAAGTAAAAATTTGTTGTTTAATTTTCTTTTTGACAGACAGCCTGTATAACTTTGCACATTTGACCGAACATTTTCATAGGATTACAGTGATATAAGGTTTGATATCTCTATCGCTTATAGTAAGAAGATATGATTAATTGGCATATGTAGCTTTAATCGTCATAACTTAAAACCCCTCAAATTTCACCAATTTATAATGCAGAATATTTTTTCGATACAGACCTAAGACTTGAAATTTATACTGTCTTGCTACGTATAAATAAATAGCTGATACTCCTTTGTTTACTTATTTATTATTTTTTTCAGATTATAACTGCTGGTGCATTTTATCCAAATTTCTTCATCAAAGCGCCTGTTGATGTTGAGACAAAAGAACGTGATGCCGTGAAAATAGTAGGGGGTCGCGATCCTTTTAAAACTGTATATTTTACAGGAATGGACCCTTACCAGCCCGGTCCCTTATATATTAAAGCTATTAAGCAGATGTTGAAAAATCCAAATGGTGACGAAAGGGATATTTTTGTAGGATTTGATGGTAGCAGGTAAACAAACTTACTGTTTGAAATAGGGAATACTCGTCTTTTTTGTAAAATGCCGATATAGTTTTATAATGGTTTAAAATGTTCAATATTTAATCTGCCAGTAAAAAAAAACAAATGTATAGTGTTAACAGTTTATGACAATCAGCTCTGATAAGAGCATTGTGTATAATAAAAACTCATTTGCTAGTCATCAAATATACAGTGTATTTAGCTCTGTTATAATTTCAGAAGGTTGTTTCTTAAGTCGTTTTAGATCAATAAGTTTTTTACACAGGAGTGTCCAAAGTTAAGGTCTACGTTACGCTGTTTATCCTCAGATCTAAGAAAGCCTGTTCCAAAAAGAGATAGTTTGTTACTTAAGAGGCAACATCACTCTAGAGGTTGGAAAAAAGGTGATTTTCGGGAATTTTCAAGGAAAAATTGATACAAGATATATTGCTAGTAACAAAGAAAATTATTAATCAATCGAAAAACCCCTACGATGTCCCCTGAGTTGTATAATTGTGAGGTCCTGTACAAAATTTCAAGTCGATTTGTTTAATCAGCGATGCTTGCACCATATTATTGGCCTTCGATATTAATATTTTCTTCATCCCCTTGCTTTCGGCTTGATCTAACACTCAATTTGGTCTCTATAATAACTAACTGCTGCACATGCTTTCACGAGTTACACTAAGCACTGCTGCAGTGTGTTTCGAGTAGTTGCGCTCCATGTAGAAGAAACTCGTGTTCCTGATTTTTCCCTCACCTAAAACAATATTTTTTAGTTTGTTGTTCACATAATAAAGCATTGTTTAAAGCATTTATGCAAAAATCTTTTTTTTTTTATTCTAGAGTGGCATTACCCTTAATGTCATTAATTTTAAGAGCAGATAGAGAAAAATGAGTATAATACGATGGCGTGATTAAAAAAAAATTAAATGCATATTTAAGCTGAAAAAAAATATTTTCAAATCATTATCTAACCCCCTTTTCAGGCCGTTACTGACCGGCTGACGTCAGCCGGCTACGATATGAACAAAGTGACCTAGATGCAATGTTGCCATATTTATATATTTTCGCACATATAAAGACAATAAATAAACGGTTTGCTCACGTCAACCAATAATAATTTAAAATGCTATAAATTATTTTTTTATAATTATGCAATCAACATATTAAATTGTTATTGTTGCCCAGCAAGAACCTCGAGGAGGTCTGAGCATGACTTGCCAAAAATCATTTTTTATTAACATCATAGTGATAATTTTTTAATTTGCTGTAAGCCTTCTACTAAAAATTGAAAGTAACGCGGCCCATTCAGATGTACAGGTAGAAAATGCGGCCCAATTAAACGATCGCCATATACTCCTGTCCATACATTGACACCCAACCTCCTCTGAAAGCTAAACCGACGAGTAGTGTGCGGGTTTTCATCTGACCAAATGTGACTATTATGGCTGCAAAGAAATTAGCTCTGTTTCACTTTAAATAAAATTTAATATTGAAGTTACAAAACCCCAAGAGTTCAAATAATTTAAATTTCATTTCATAACCATTTCAATTTCATTACAGAAATAATGACATAAAAAACCAACACTCACTAGATAAATTATAAAGAGGGGGTGAAATGTATGTAGTATTTAAATATTGACTGTAAGTAATAGAAGATAAAAATACAATCGGACGGAGACAAATAAACAACTCAATAAACAACTTGGTCCGTATTTCCGACCTAGGTCAACCTTTGTCGAGTTCAATAACCTAATTTGCACGTGTGCACTTTAGTGTCATCGCAAGAAGTTGTCAGTGTTTTATCAAAGGAAAATCGTGTCATCAATGAATAGGGATGATTGTTTTCGAATGTAGGTTACTACAATTTATCATTTTTAATATTATTAACGTTTTGACGTTTTATAATTTATTATGTTAATAAATACACAGTTTTAGTATTTCAGTTTATTATTCAATATGCAGTTGCCTATAACCAAAGTTTACATAATAAATGTAAACTTTAGTGTAAATCTAAACTTTGGTGTAACCTAGGTATTGTTTTTGAGAAGGCAATACTTATGATTTTTACCTGTTTAAAATGCCAGCACGAGTAAAATATCATTCATCTGTCCAGAGCACTTTGTTAATAAAGTTCTGCTGCACTTCGATTCAGGAACCAATTGCAAAATTCAAGACGATTGGGGAAATCAGCTGCTTCTAAAGCTTGAACTTTTTGAAAATGTGTTATGTTAACTCCTTTGCGAGAAAAATGCTGGAGATATGGAGGGTGGTAGATTTGAATAAACGGTTTAAATTGTAAGGTAATGGTTTTGTAACCGTGTGTAGTGTATTTTATATATTCGGGTATTTAGTGTGCTGATTTTTTTTATTTGATAAAATTCAGTGTGCCTACAAACCTCTGCTTTATTTATTTTCTTTTAACGAAAGTTGACTTCAAGAAGTAAGGCTTGTTAAAACATTTTGCACTACGTTAATACAATTATTAAAATCAGTTATAATAAAATGCAGCATGATCCTTTATTTACTTGCATTTTATTGGTTTCGTACATATGTATCCGTATACTAAAGCGGCAAAATTAAATGTGATTATGATGTGAACTTGGCAACGCTGTTCGCCTCAGCTGACGGTTTGTTCGTGACATTACGTTACAAAATTTTCCGAGCATCCGGGCATCTGGCAGGGCCGCCTTCTTAGCGGGAGTTATGGGTTGATTTCCTTCATTTTTAAAAGTCAAGTAAAAAATGTTTTTTTCCGATTTTCTGTCTTTATTAAGCCTTCCGAATACGTGATTAAAATTAATGACATTATGACTGAATCACTCTGTATATCTGCGCGCGACGCGCAACCTGCGCAGTGTACGCGCCACGTTCGTTGCTCGTTCAATGTTCGTTTGAACTGTTCATTTTGAAGAACCATCTGCGATCCAAAAAGAAACCCATGAACATTTTAGTAGACATTTTACATTGTAGAACAGTCATGTTTCTCGCGCTCCCGTGCAAATTTATACTGCGAACACACAAAGCGTTCGTCAAAAAAACCGACACGAGGTAGGTTGTGATGCACTGTGTGCACGCGACTCGTGCGCAACTCGAAAACCCTTTACTGATCCAGAGAACTTGGCGCACACGCGGAGTGGCGCTCAGATGTATACGCACCTTTAAACTATTATAATACTGTAATAAAAGTAATAAATGTAATAAATACTAATGATAACTGCATAATTTATCATATCTGAGGATGTCGATTACATTGTCCGCTGGATCTTATAAATGTAAAAATTTGTGGACAGTCCTTATTTGGACTTATCTGATACCGTAGCTTCTATAACTATTCATATTAGAAGGTATTGTCACTAAGAAAATCACTCGCAGAACAACTGAGTTTTGACATTGCATAGAAAACATCTTGTTTATTAATAGGTTGTTAAAATATTTTCTTTTTTATAGTAAAGTATATGTAGAATTCAAGTCTCTTGAAAGACCAGAAAATGTTTGTTTATCTTTGGATGGCGTTGAACGAGTGGCTAACCTAGTTTCTGGTAGAATCCCTTATGAAGTATATGAAGCGATAAGAAAGCGACAGTTGGATTACAATTTTTCCTTACAGCTTCTGCCGTATGTCAATCCATATTATTTTTTTTTCCATTTCATATTTATTACAATTTTTTAGTACCGAAATCGCTTGGGAATGGGCAGAAATAAATGGTATAAAAAAGAATAGTGCACTTCAGACTTTTACCACCATGGCAGCAATTGAAGAGAGACATTGCTTTTCGGATTTAAATTTCAGTCCCATACCTTCTCTGGATACTGAATATATAACCCTCAAAATTACAGAGGTATGGTATGTCACTTTGTAATTGAACTTACATTAATTTAAAATAACAAATTAGGGAAAATTTTATTTAAATAGATTTTCGTATTGATAATGAAAATAAAATTTCTTTTTCAGTATATCGATGCTAGTCATTTCTGGGCTAATACGCTTGAAAGTGAACATTATTTGGCAGGCATAGAAGAAGTTTTAAATAAACAATTATTGCACCAAGTACTTGCATCAGAAAATGTAGAAGATAGGAAACTTAAGTTAGGGAAGATTTATGCAGCCCGTTATCATGAAGACAATCTATTTTACCGATGTAAAATAGTTGCGCATACAACTCATTCTGCTCAAGTAAGTTATACGATGTTATTTTGATTTTATTATACAATTACAGGGTTACAGATACAGAAATACTGAACACTAGTGACCTTAAATCCTTAGTATGTTAAGTTTTTTTTATCTTAAATTATTCTAGACTCAAAAAAAGTTATTAGACAATAGTTGTGCTTGTGACATGGTGAAAGTTTTGGTAATTATTTTTGGGACTCTGTATTAAACAAATTTCTGCCTTTTAGTAAAGTTTCTTGATATTTTCCTTTTTTAGATAATTTTTATTGATTACGGCAATATGCAGCAAGTTTCACCACGAGAACTATATTTCCTTCCTGACAGGCCAGAGTGTAACTTACCTCCTCTGAGTATAGAATGTGTACTTCATGCTATTCAGCCTTCTCTGAAACAAAATCCCAAAGGATTTTGGTGTGATCGTATTAATAGCATTTGTAAGAATCAACTTGTTGGAGTATTACTGTACGGAAAGGTTAGTATAAAAGTAGTGATATAATAAGCAAAGACAAATAGTTGATATCAATGTTATCTGAAATTAAGTTGTCTAAATTTAAAATTATTATTTTTTTTAATTATGTATATTAAATAATTTGGACATATTTAATTTGTAAATAATAATGATTAAATAATCTTTAGAGTTATCTCCCGACCTTTCCCCACTACTCGACGGCGTACGCCCGCTCGTCCGTTTTTGAGCATGTTTGGAGGAATTTTTCATCTATTTCGCATCATCTTATCGGAAAATTAGAATATACGTTTTGTAGTATTATACTTCGACTTTCAAAATCCGGCTAAAAAATTAAAATTGAACCACCTCCAACGCATCCAGAAACTTTGCAAAATAGTGCACCTAAAAATTCAAATTACAATTGTGCCAAAACTAATGGTCTGACAGTGCCTGTTTTGTGTACACTTAAAGTATGTATAAGTCAATACTTTTGTGCAAAGGGTCAGCTCTTCAACTTAAAAAATGATGGAGAAATGAATTTTTAAAAAAATGCAAAATTTACCAATTTTTCCAGGTTTTCTTCGTTTATAATTATCCGATCGGATCGAGCGGCCTCTCGTTTTATTCGTATTTCGATTCTCTACAATAGCGTTCAGATAGCTTCGTTAGTTTAAGTTTTATAAGCAAAAAACTAAAAAATTGTGTTTTTTGCATAAAAATGTTTATAAAAAATTAATTAATGGTAAATTGGAGTAGGAAACATAGGAATATATCTACAGACTGTCTTTTATATGATGGCACAGTCTGTTTTGCTACTAGTATTTTTGTCACAAAGTCATTGATTTAATGCTCCTCTATTGATTGGCCTACATGGTTTGTAATTAGTGATGTAAAATTCTCGAGCACGTATTTTTGCAGAACGTTCCCTGAGCACGAACGAGCATGAACGAGAATAAACGAGCATAAACGAAAAAAACCCTAGAATTTATATTTGGGGTGTAGTGAAGTATTTAACTTACTTTTTGTGTTTTTTTCTGAAAATGCTCAAAATGCTGTAAGTGCTCAAAATAATCCTAACGCTTCATATGAAAATAAGAGTGTATTCATATTATGTGTTGCAAATAATACAGTAATAACTTCTAACATCAAAAAAATTATATTTATTAAGTAAAAAATAGCTAAAACTTACATGCATGTTATAGTCTTTCCGATATCAATTGAAAAATCAAGACGTTGACAGTATGTACCAGGTTCGGTCGCTGACGCAGAAACTCGGCACTGAAATATTTGAAAAACTTGTTCCCATATTTATTTAGCCATACCCATATACAGGTCTGGTTGAACTAAACGTAAAGGTGGTAGAAATGTATACGCCCAGTTGAAGAATGTGAGCCACGGCCAAATGAAATCTAACACGGCTGCATTGGGCCGCTGGGCAATAGATCTCAGTTCTTGACAAGTGTTGACAAACTGCCCAGCAACTTATTATAATTTTTTACCTTTAGCAGAAAACTTTTTTAGGGACGCCTATGAAAGACATTAAATTTTATTGCCAGGCGTTTTTTACATGTTCAACTAACTTCGGAAAGACTATACATGTATGTAGAAACATAATGTATGATAAATATAGCTTTGACATAGTAAGTAGCTCATAACTTAGATATAAAATATTTTTTTATTTAAAAAAACTATATAAGAAAAATCAAATTGCAATCTCAATTTGCAATAAATTGAAAATATAATTTTCTCTGCAAATAATCGAATGTGTTAACTAAATCAAATAACAAAATAAAACAAGGGGATCCACCGAGGCAGAATGATATAATGCCCGCAGATGAAACGCGCTGATTGGCCGTGATCGTGCTGAAAATTCTCTTTCGTGCTGAGTGTGCTCTGTGAGGAACGTTCGCGGTGAGCGATCTATCGTGCGCGAACGTTCGCGAAACGTTCTCCACAGCACGAAGGGAACGTTCTCCCCTTTACATCACTATTTGTAATCATTTATGAAGTGAGGAGTTTTCCGAAGGGCCACCAAAAAAAGTTGAATTATTCCTGTAATGTTGGATTTCTGACTTCAGAAGTCTTTTGCGCCTCAGTCAGTGATATAAATATGTAATATAACTTATTTGAGGTTAGGATTTTTAAGATGTATGTCTCATATTACAATGTAAAATTTAATTTTACATGAAAATGGCACGCTTGCTGAAATTTCCAAAAATGCGCCGTTTCATGAAAAATTCCTTAATATACAGGGTATAACTTTAAATGGGAATAAGTTTTTAGGGCTAAAAGTACGTATAGATTACTGCTAGTTGTTTTGCTAGATTACTTGTTAAGTACTGTTTGTGTGGCGAACAAACAAAAAGTAATGAGAGCCAAAGAACATTATGTATGCGCTTTGACTAATGTGTTCCGTTATTTGAGGTTACACTAGCTTGTCCAGTGGCAGAGTTCAAAAATTCCTAAAAAAAGGTTCAAGTTTTAAACGGAACGAAAGGAAGCCTCTGTATAAATATGACCCCCACTCAAAGTTACATCCTGTATAGCGTTCTGGAAACAATTGGATTATAGTTCAGAGATAGCTTCCATCAATAAAAATAAATTCATTTAGATCAAGTGACCTTAGTACAATTTTGGTTTATTCCATTTTAACTAATGCTAACATAACTTTTTAAGGAAGCAAAACTAAGATACCTTTCAAGTATGGCTTATTTGAACACTCTGTATATCAGGGCTGGCCAATAGATTTTCCTGGAGGGCAAAATTTGATAGACTACGGCAGCGCCGGGCAAAAAACTATGTTCATTCATACATAAAATATTACACATACAAAAAGTATAATAAACAAACATCAATATGCTTCAATATTTTTTATTTGTGAATCAAATTAAGTAAAATAGTAACAAAATTAGTATTTTTAGTTAATGTGAGCTGTGAAGAGGTTTTTCTGAAAGTAATTTGTCGATATTTGGTTTTAGATCTGATGAAGAAAGAAGAATCAAGTCTGAAATGTGTTTAGCAGTGAGA